ATTCTCTAAACATTGATTAACCCTCTCACTCTGCCCATCAGACTGGGGGTGATAGGAAGAACTATAGTGTAGGCTAATCCCCAACATGTGGAATAACTCTTGCCAGAATCTACTAATAAAAATCTTGTCCCTATCAGAAATTATGGAATCTGGTAAACCATGTAGTTTGTAGACATTGTCAAGGAAAACCTGGGCTATGTGCTGAGCTATGTAAGGATGTGTGAGTCTTATGAAGTGACTGAATTTAGTTAGGCGATCCACCACTACCAAAATGGTATCGTATCCCTGAGATGAAGGTAACTGCTCGATGAAATCCATGGAAATATGTGACCAAGCCTGTTGAGGTATGGGAATAGGCTGCAATAGTCCCGGATAGGGAACATTTTCATGCTTATTGCGCTGACAGATATCACAAGATTGCACAAACTGAATGACGTCCCTCTTAATCCCAGGCCAGTGAAATATAGCTTGTATTCTCTGTAAGCATCCCCTCTGGCCCGAATGTCCCCCCACGACTGAATCGTGTAAAGCTTTGATTAGGTTGTTTCTGATATTGTTGGCAGATCCCACATATAATTTCCCTTTGAATCTTAGCAGCCCCTGATCCATATGGTAATCCGGGTCAGCAGTAGAATCCAGGAGCAGTTGAGCTATCTTCTGCTGAGCTTCTGGATCCCCATCATAACTCTCAACCAGCTCCTGCATCCAAGCTGGCTGTACGGAGGAAATGGCACACAAGTGGTGTGCAGAGGCTTGGTAGTCTGCGGTTTCGTCTCCCTTCCTTCTGGATAGAGCATCCGCTGCGCCATTGTCCGAACCCTTCTTGTACTGAATCTCGTAGTCTAATCCCAGCAATTTGGTGAGCCACTTGTGCTGCAAGGGATGTGTAAGCCGTTGCTCCAACAAGTGCTTAAGAGCCTGGTGATCAGTTTTTATAACGAAATGATGGCCGACCAAGTAATGCTTCCATTTGGTGACTGCCAGCACCAAAGCATATAGTTCCTTTTCATACACAGACAGTCCCAAGTTTTGAGGAGATAAAGCTTTACTGATGAAGGCTATGGGATGACCCTGCTGCATTAGGATTGCCCCAATACCCACATCGCAGGCATCAGTTTCAATTACAAAAGGCAACTCGAAGTTGGGCATGCTTAGAACTGGTGCAGTGGTCATAGCCTTCTTGAGATCTTCAAAGGCTATCTGAGCTTTATGGTCCCAGGCAAAGCCTTCTTTCTTCAGTAACTGTGTGAGAGGCTTACAAATTAACCCATACCCCTTGATAAATCTTCTATAGTACCCCGTTAATCCTAGGAATCCTCTCAACTCCTTGACGGTGTTAGGCGTAGGCCAGGCCTTGATGCAATCAACTTTGGCTGAATCCATACTCACCCCTTCACCAGAAATCACATGTCCCAAGTATTCTACAGATGTCTGAGCAAAATAGCACTTAGACTTCTTACAATAGAGCTGGTTGTCAGCCAAGACCTGGAGGACAGTTTGCAAGTGTTGTACATGTAACTCTAAAGTTGGGCTATAGATTAGGATATCGTCGAAAAATACCAACACGAACTTCCTCAAAAAAGGTTGAAATACCCTATTCATCAAAGATTGAAACGTCGCTGGAGCATTGGTTAGCCCAAATGGCATCACCAGAAATTCAAAGTGTCCATGGTGTGTTTGGAAAGCAGTCTTGTAAGTATCTACTGCCTTAACTCTCAGTTGGTGGTAACCAGCTCTGAGATCCAATTTAGTCATGTATTTGGTGCCATGCAGTTCGTCCAGTAACTCATCAATGTTAGGAATGGGAAATCTATCCTTAACGGTCAGGTCATTCAGCTTTCTGTAGTCTATGCATAGCCTCCAGGAGTTATCTTTTTTCTTAACTAGCAATACAGGTGAAGCAAATGGACTTGTGCTATGTACAATGATTCCATTGGTAAGCATTTCAGCTACTTGTTTCTCAATTTCAGTTTTATGGGAATGAGGATACCTGTAAGGTTTGAGTTTAAAGGGTTCAGCCCCTGGTTTGAGGTTAATCTGATGGTCCAGCTCCCTTTCTGGGGGTAAGCCTGTTGGCGTCGCAAACACCTGGGGATATTGCCGTAGGACCCTCTCTACTGGTTCTGGAACATCTCCCAACCGGTCCCCTTTTAGTTCCATATGGAGTGCTGCACTTTCCCTTCGTTTCTCCTGAATGAATGTCCTGAGGTCTTTCCCCCTCACTAGCTCCAATGTAGGCTGGTTGATGAATCCTTGGAGATGGAGTAGCTCCCCTCTGTCGCTGAGGGCAATGCTGAGAGTGTGAAAAGCAAAGGTGATAGGACTGAATTGGCACATCCAGTCAACCCCAAGGATGATGTCCCATCCTCTCAGTTCCATTACCTTAAGGTCAAATTGGAATTGATAATCTTGTATCAGCCATGCTACTTTGGGGCAGATGGCTCCACTTGTAATATCCGTTCCATCTGCTAGTGTTACGATGAAAGGATTCACGGTCTGGTAAGGCAGGTGCAGTAGACTGGCTAGCTTGTGGTGTATGAAGCTATCAGAGCTCCCTGTGTCCACCAAAACCTTAACTGGTAGGCCACCCATATTGCCCATCAACATAATAGATTTCCTTCTGAGAGCACCTGATAATGCATTCAAGGACACTTCTGCAAGCTCTCCCACCCTGCCCGTTTGTTCATCTTGCTCCCCCATTGCATCCTCAAAGACTGCTTCCTCCTCTTCCTCCACACCTATGCAGTTCACGTTGCCAGGTTTGCACTGATGTCCTACCCCAAACCTCTCCCCACATCTGTAACACAAATTGTGTTTTCTTCTGTACTGCATTTCCTCCGCCGAAATTCTGCCAACCTCCCTGTGTAATGACTCCGGCTTCCTGATATTAGGGGTAACTGCAGGTAATTTGTATGCATTAGACTGGTTATGACTACCTGCCTGATTCCTGTACATACCAAACTTGGATTCCAGAGCGACCTTGGCAGGAGGTTTAGACTGTTTAGATTGGATTTCCAGAGCATATTCCTGCAACTCAGCTACTTCAAATGCCTTCGGCAAGGAGTGAGGTTTAAACATCCTAACCATGGTCTTGATCTCATCCTTGGGGCCACTAATGAAACTGGAAATGAAATAAGACTCATCTAATCTGGGATTTCGGATCAGCATTAACGTTTTTAATTCTTCAAACTTTTCCTCATACTCTTCAACTGTCCCCTTCTGCTGCAATTTGTTGAATTCTCCCACTACATCCAGGGACCCCTTCCCCGAGAACCGTTCACACAACAATTCCCCAAACTCCTCCCAGGTTAACTCAGGTCTAGCAAGTTTCACCCCCTGAAACCAATTGTCAGCTTTTCCTTCTAAGAACATCTCAACCAAATCTACCTTCTGTTTCGCAGGAACCTGGTAATTCAGGAAGTACTTCTGGCATTTCCTCAACCACTCCCTAGGATTGCCAGAAGAGAATACTGGTATCTCCATCCTAGGCAAGTTAGGCAGATGCATTCGCGCTCCATATTCTGGCTGATGATTCGGCAGTTTCGTGGGAGATGTCAGCCTCAAATGCGGAGGAGGAGTCGGTAGGAGTGGCTCCGACGTTCCGCCGTCACTATCCGTTGCTCCTTTCTCCTTCATCATCACCTTCAGCAGCGTACTAAGCTTTTGCTCCATTTTACTGAATTTCTGATCCAAGGTCCCTACGACAGCTTCCAACCTTGAATTGCTTTGTTCGATTTCAACATGCAGCTTCCGTTGTAATTCATCGTGGCCGGAGGTCTGAAGGACGGCCATGGTTTCTGCCAGCTCCTGAAGCTTGCTTTCTTGTTTCTTAAGTTGCTCCTCCAACGATCGGTACCTAGTGTTTTCAGCCATGGAAGTGTCACAGCAGCCAAGGATCGGCTGCTCTGATACCAACTGTCAGGATCTGAGGTTCCTTGGCCAGAATTCTTCACCGGAATCCAAGTGGATGAGGGGTTTTGAGACGAGAAGAAGACAAGGAGAGGGAATGAAACAGGGAGAGAGAGAGAGAGAATATCCGGACAGGAATGAGAAAGAGAAACAGATTAACTGATTCTGATCTTAATTGCCATTTCTGTTACAATCCAGGGTTTTATGCAAAAATATCTCAACTAACTACAATTAATGACTAACAGACCGTTTCAAGTAGGACGACACCGTTTTGATTAAACGCATGCCTTATTGAATAAAACGCATACCACTACAAATAACAGTTCCTGACAGCTACCATTCTGGGTTACCAAGCCATATTCTGCGTCATGGCAGTAGTAGTTGAAATTTACGATAATTTGACATTTCTCCTCGTCATTATCATCTTAAGTTGCCAATAGCTTCTTAGAATTGATCTAGTGACAACCAAATTTGACTAGGTTCTTTTTCCTGCATCTTTTTTGTTCAAAATTGAGCCAGTCCCTTGAAATCATCTTTCTTTCTAATGATTTTCTTGCTTCATTCTGCAATGGACTAACTTGGCCAAAGGTTAATACTTTCGGGATTAAATTTGTGTTGCCGGAACAATTGGGGGGCCAAATTTATAACCCACAATGATGGGAGAGTAGTACAATTTAACAAACCAAACGCAAAAGTGAGAAGAATTTAAAAAAAAAACACACACACACACACACACACGCATATAATGAGAATTAAATTCAAAACTTTTAGTTTTGGAGTTTCAATTTTAACCACTTGACCAAGGTCTCATGGGCGACCATTGCCCAAACATAGAATGATTTTTGTTCAATAAAGCTGATGATCGAAATTGATTTTTTTTTTTTTAAATCAAACTTTAATGACCTCAATTCCAACATAGAATTAAACCATTATCGCGTTGGATATCTTGTGCAAGGTGCAATTGTATGCCTTCTTTTCATCAATTGAAGAGCAACATCCAAAAAAGAAAAAGAAAAGAGGAAAACCAACATCCACACCAAAAAGAAATGATTTCGCAAAGAAACTGAAATAGGTTAATAAAACAGCCAGGCTGCGTTAAGTCCAAAACAAATTTTTTATAAGCCAGAATGAATCAATATGAACAATAATGGTACAAATTTCAAACACAAGCATCACCAATTCATCCAGCAAATGAAACTCTGATATGATTAGACTTATTCATGTACAGACACACAGTTAAAGATGTCATTAGATTCATTCCCTCAAGGATCAGCTTTGCCAGCTACTTCCTCATCATCACTGGAGGGATATTCATCTTCACTCAGCTCCTCATCACTAGATTTTTCTGCAGGTGCAGCACCAGCATCCTCTGGCTTGGCATATTTTTCACAGTACTCTAAAAGAATACGGTATGTCAACACCAGTTTTATAATATGAAAATTGGTGACAAAAAGTTATTGCAAAAGATATTGCTCATACACATATAAGCATTATTACCATGTAAATAACCTCTCGCTTGCCAACGACAAGTATTTTAGTTCCATGGATATCAATTCCATCAGCAACTTATCAGAAGGCTTAGCTACCAACACATAATCGTCCATTAAAAATTTGCAGATTCTCAAATTCTTCAGTCAAGCAAGACACAAGCGAAGGTCATGTAAGACCAGAGCCATTGATGACACAAGTCCACACAACAACAAAATGGCCCCCTCCCGTGACATACGGAAAAAAAGAAAGAAGCAGAGGAGGAGTAAGAAGGCCTTAAAAACTTTAAAGCAGGCCTTTAAAGTGGTAAGACTTTGTTTGTTCACTAATAAAGATGCTCAGGTAAAAGTCAGTCACTGTTAATGCTCATAATGACATACCAATAGAACATAAATGGCCTTTGTCCCCTTCACATAAATGGCCTTTAAAGCGCCTCATTAGCGCCAATAATCTTCTGAAGTCTATAGCTTCTGAAATATAAGAAAGGCAAAAATGCACAAGAACAACAGAGATTCACAAGGATTTAAGTGAAGGGGCAATGGGGCTATATCCAGTTCGTCCGATGGTTCATGTCCTTGACTAGTATAATGATGCTTCTCAATTATTCCACACACTAGATTTTCCAGAACATATCAGTTTCAGTCTATATTAATACCTGTCCCAACTCTTTTATTGTTTAGAAGATGCTTTCAACCACAGTAACTTTCATTGACAAATAGCTCAATGATCAAGAATTCCCCCGCACATTGTGGCAAAAGAAGTTTTGAGTATCATGTCTTTCATTAACTAAGCCTTTTCTTCCACCAACCAAGCATCTTCTTACTCTTAAGCCTGTCCTTATGAGGATATATTTTCTGCAACTAAGTACACATTAATCAATTTTTAATCGATAAGATTACACATGATCACAGCTGAAGGCGACACCTTAAGGAAGACTAAGATGGTGCATTTCATAATTTTCATAGGTTTTAGATGAATAATTAATACCTTTAACTCTTTGTTCGTAAGTATTTCGATCACGCATCATAAGAGCAGCAGCCTCTCCATTCAACGGGTCAGACGGGTTGGGATACAAAAGAAGTTGAGGAAGAAACACTTCAAAGACATTTACCAGATCTGCAAAGCAGGGGAAAATGTACTCGAAGTTGAAGAAATCCAAACTTATTGTTCCACTTAGATACAGAAATAGAAATGACTGACAGTTGCTGAAACAATGGAATGGTAAATGCAACAAAAAGACGCAACAAGTACACTTACCGAACATGGGGCTCCATGTCTGATTGATAACATCTAAACAAACAGAGCCTGACCTGCATACAGAAGAGTAATGCAATGCAAGAAAGCACTTAAACCCATGCCTTTAAAAGCAAAGCAAAATCAAATTTATTGTAATGATGCCATGTAAGCATGTAAATTATGAGACAGTAACATCCTCAAGCTCACATTTCATCGACATTGGGATGGTAAATCTTGTTGACAAAACCGATTGAGGGAGATTTATACGGATAAGCATCAGGCAACTCCACCCTTATCCTCCACACACCTCCATGATAAGGACCTGCCACAAGAACCCACCAAGCCGCAGGAAGTAAAAGTGACATTAACCCCAAAAAAGAAAAAGAAAATAGTGCCATTTATTTAAGTCCACCCATAAGCAATCAACTAAAGAACCTTGTCCTCATTAAGAAAAATCAGTGAACAACTGTGCTGCATAGTCCCTCAAATTACGAGAGAGTTTAGGACAACAACAGCAACAAATAGTAATCTAAAGCTACATTAAACATGAAAACAATCTTAATTAAGCTAAATGACTAACATTGAGCTAGACAACAAGAGGCCCATTAATTCAAATATATAGATTTTGCTGAAATCAGGATATCTCAGCTAACATAAATTCCAAGATTGAGCCAATATATGAATGAATAGAAAGAACCAAGATAAAACAACAAAAAACCCAGAAAAATAATTGCAAACCCAGCTCAAATTTACAGTCCGATGCACTAAATAAGTGGGAAAAAATCAGAAAACAAGAAAAAGAAAAGGAAGGATTATTACTGTCTTTAGGTCCATGGAATTCCACATAAAATTCTTGCATGCCATCATTGATCATCTCCACCTTGTAGTCACTCATCATCCTAGGAAACAAACAAAACCCATTAAAATCAATACAAGGCCGAAAAAGGAAAACCCCAAAAAAGTATGAAAAAGAAAATAAGTAAAAAGAAAAAAAAAACTTTTGATTGAATTACAGCTTCATTAAATCCATCTCCCTGCGCTTGCTTGGGGAAGACATGGTCGATTCTTTTTTCTTTTTTTCCTTTCTCCGCCGAAGGTTTGTTGTATTCTTTTTTTCTTAGGTTGGAGGTTTTGGGAATTGAAGCAGTGAGGGATATGCGTGTGCTGTATATATAGGTAGGCCTGTGAAGTGTATATAAATGCGATAGCGAAGAAAAGAAAGAGAGAAGGAATTAATAAATATTTTATTCTCAGGGGGGCGGTTCAGACATCGAACAGGTAGCGAGTGAGCTACTCCAGCATCGTGCAGAGGCCATCACCCAAGCGTAGCTTTTTTACTGTTTTACAGTTTCTTTCTCTCTTTTTTTTGGTATATAACGAATAATAGGGGATAGAGAAAACTTAGCCACATAATTTTACACAGTCTAATAGATTAGTTTCTGATTTATTTTTTCATGCTAACACTATACGACTTTGTTTATACAAAAGGGGAGTAGAATTATGACTCGTAATCTCACTTATATTTAGAATACTTTTTATTAAAAAAATTTTAATAGTATGTCTTCAGACGTTCTTGGGCAAATGAATCTTTGAACCATGCCTGTCGATTTTATTTTTTTTTTTTTTTTTTTTTTAAAAAATTCTTAATTTTTTTTTTTTTTTTTTTTGTAAAAAAATCCTTAATTATTTAGTTTTCAGGGTATCTTTTTCTATCGAAAAACTGATTAAAAGAAAACAGAGGAAAGGACTGGCTTTGTAAGTATAAGATGGTGTTAAAAGGTTCCTTTTTTTTTTTTTTTTTTGACATTACATATTACGACATTTTTTTTTTCCATTTGAATTTATAAAGTTTTCTTTAATCATATGGTACTATTCAATTCTTGCAAACACTGAACCTCTGTCTTGACGCCTATTTATTTGGACCGAAATGTTCTGGCCCTTTTGGGAACACCCGAAGTCTAATTGTTATTTTGTTACATTTCTGGGATGGTTGAGAGAAAAATAGCTTTTGATGATTGATAGAAATGATAAATGCTGAACAATGAATGGATCGTCTGAAGTGAATCTCCAAAAATCCATCCTTGGCAAAAAATCGTTTTACTCTGAGGCTTAACATGCAACTTCCTTCACTCAATTGGCCGTAGTTAACTTTTAGTGTTGTGATCATCTTTTTTTTTTTTTCGGAGACGACAACTGTTGTATAATCTAATCTATTCTACACTAAGGAGGAGGGGGCGGACCTAAGGAGGCTCAGGGATAACCCGGTGTGATCATCATCATTGGCACATTTTTATTGTCTGAACAAAATCTTTCTTGTGTATTTTTATCAGATAATAATTCCTTTTTAACACAAAAAATACTTGGTGAATGTCAATTTAAAAACGTGCAAAAAGTGTAATGGTAATAAGAATAATAGTAAGTCTTTGCAACTAAAATTTTCTTGGTTGGCTTTTTCTTCTAGTGACAACATGTTTTGGCTACTTGTATACTTTTCCATGATGTGGTAGGCTACCTTCCAAGGTAATGTCTTCAAATATGTTTTGGTTACTTGAAGTAGCTAACAATATTGACGAAGTTGGATTCTCATCAGGGTTAACCTTCTCATGAATATGAAGGTCCAATGTTGCATCATGTCAACATAAAAACTTTTATTCTCCTTTTCCTTGTTGATTTTTCATCAGTGGAAGACTCCTATTACTACCACTAGCCATAATTACATTTTGAACTCTTATAAGTTAACAGTTGTTCTCAATTTTTACTACTTTTTAACTTAACTTTAGGCACATTGCACCGATTTCAAGAGTTATCTCAAATCACAACCAATTATTGTAGAGTAAAATGAAAATACAAATCCTAAGGATTGATGATGGCGTGCATATAGGCTCGTGGATATGTTTTTGGATACTTAGTGTTCGAGATTTAAAATGAATTGATTGTTACCGATTGTTGGGAAAAAAAATGAATTGGTAACTTTATCCTAATTAAAATTTGCTTACAGAAAGTTGTTGTTCAATAATTTTCTTGTGACTTGCAATGCATTAAAGGTTCACTTACCTTTTTTAAATTATTATCTGCTATATATTTTGTTTTTGCCTTTGTACTTCATCTAGAAGAGTGGACGATGAAGTGTTGGAGCACTAGAGCAATGCATCATTGGTGCCAAATACATAGACATTGGTCTGCGTTTGCTAGCCACTATCATCGCCCCGTTTGCTAGGAAATGGTGTTCGAGCTATCTTTTTTTTTTTTTTTTCTTTCAACAAACGTCAATATTGATTAGGTAAATCCAATTTACGTTTGTTATTGTTTGAAAATTTGCAACTACTTGAATGGCTTTTTATACCTTTGAGAAATCCATCGTTTCGCGTAATTTTACTGCATGTAGTGCAACTTCGATATATGATATACAATAAATCGAGACGAGAAGTGTTTGTGTAGTGATCAAGATTGAAATTATAATTTCTAAATTCAAGTTTCACTTTATATGAATTATAGTGCTGTTGAGTTATAGTAATTTCTATCATTTGTGAGTTAATTGTTTAATCACCCCATATCTAAAGATGGAATATGAATTATAGTGCTGTTGAGTTATAGTAATTTCTATCATTTGTGAGTTAATTGTTTAATCACCCCATATCTAAAGATGGAATGCTCAATTAGCCAAATTTACCGTGTGTGTTATTCGAAGTACAACACGGGCCAATCATACACTGAAAGATAAACTAGGTGCTCGACTCTAGAGCTGTTAATCGAGTCGAGTCGAGCTCGAGCATCGAACCTCTAATCGAGCTAGCTCGAGCTCACTCAATTAGTAATTCGAGCTTCACAAGCTGTTCGAGATCGACTCGGTGTATTCGATCGAAAACTCGAGTTCAAAATCAAGCCGAGCTTATCGAGCTCGAAACTCGAGCTCGAGCTCGTTTGGGAGATGAACATTAAGGCAAGACCGAAAGAGAAAAGAAAAAATTAGGGCTAGAAACGGGAGAATGAATTAGGTAAAAGTATCAAATACACAATGAAATGACACTAATGATCATACTATTTGAGCCTATCGAGCTTAAACGAGTCGAGCATAGCTCGGCTCGTCTATTAAACGAGCCTAAATTTGAACTCGAGCTTGGCTCGTTTCTCTCAGTAAACGAGCCGAGTCGAGCCCTTATCGAGCCGGGTCGAGCTCGGCTCGCGAGCTACCCGGTTCGATTAACAGCTCTAGTCGCCTTGCTTAATCTATACGTACTATTCATTTCCATTTCTTTTGATTCAAGAGTTTGTGACTGAAATGTTGATCTTTCAGAAAATGGAAAAAAAAAAGTGAAGTAAGTGTCTAGAAATGTTGTAAGTAAAGGTACAGTAAATCGGGGTTAGAATACCACAAGACATCCAAGACATTTAACAGGTGAATTATTCTCTATTCTTTAGTTGTGGATAGTTACACGTCTAACCCAAAAAAAATTTTTTTTTTTGATGAGAGGAGTTTTTTTTTTTTTTTTTTTTTAAGGAATACGAGAGGAGTTCTTTTTTTTTTTTTACGGCGATGATAATATTTCTATAATTTAATCTATCTTACTCTATAAGGAGGGAAGTCTAAAGAAACTGTGTATAAGAGATTAGTAAGTATAAAAATGATGGAGAGGGGTTCATGAATCATGATACAAAATTTTCAAACTTGTAGCCGCTAGACGGGAATCTCAATAAAAATTGACCCGCTAATAGAGCACAATTTAGTCTTCCAACAAAAATGGCAGGCAGGCAGGCAGCGGAGGAGAATCAAAATTCCTGTCATTTAAAAGTGTGGAAGGACGTGGAAGTGATTGGAAACCCCGAATTCCAAGCGCATTAAGCGAATAGAGTTATGTAGAAATTCTTCATCGCGTAATGGGATTGCTGAAAAAGATGCACCATTATCAGTCCACGTAATGTTATTGGTTTAACACTAGTGTCTGTTTGATAACATAAAAAAGTGCTGAAACTGAATTTATTCAGACATTCAGATGTTTTGGGTGTTTGATAAATAAAAATTTTTCTGCTGAACTTATTAAGTGGTGCTGAATTTGTATGTATTTTTTTCAGCACAAGAATCGTAACTGAATGCTTAATTTGATAAGAATCAAGAGATTTACTTCAACTACTTTATCTTATCTACCAAATCTATCCTTGTTTGTTAATTACACTCAAAATCCTTATCTAATTAAACAACCTAATATTTTCTATTCAAAATTCTTATCTAATTAAACAACCTGTCTAATGGCTTTCTACTTCTATTTTCTCCTTATTTAATGACTTTTTTACAATTTTTCTATGCTACTCACATCTGTCTACTCCTTATCTTTTTCCATCTTTCTACTCTTTCATACTTTTATCATTTTTTTCCTCCCAATTTTTTTTATTGCTACCGTACTCACCGATCTCAAATTCATTATTTCCAAGGTAGCGTCAACATTTTTCCATTGAAGTAATTAAATTTCTATGTAATTTGGTGTGAATTTAAAACTTGTTTATTGCAGCTTCCTTTTGCTTATATTTGGACTTTTCTTATCAAACTCTGATTTAAAAATATATTTGCACTGATATTTGGACTTTTCCATAATATATTTCTTCTTTTATATTACTTTGATTTAAAAATAAATATTGTCATTTTCATACCTAACAATTTTAAGCTAATTAAATCATAGGTTCTATTTCCTTTTTAGATTAAAAGATAGAAGGGCAAAATTGTACAATTTAGCTTATTAAGTATTAAGTTATAAATGTTTATCAAACAGTATAAATATGTTCAGCATTAAGATTCAGATATTCACCTACTCTACTTTTTAAATTCATTCTTGCTCTTTCCTGCCTACCAAAATGATAGCATCAGCAGCAAGATTAACTGGTTCAAATGTGGCCAAAAAAAAATGGAACAACACTCTAGGAATGGCTAGAGCTCAGATGCTTGAATGGCATTTTGCTTCTTTGATAGCCAACATTCATCACCGAAATGCATTATACAAATCAAAGTATGCCACAAAAAGATCCTCTGCCATAACCCCCTATATTGAGTAAATACTCCATTAAAATGTACGTCAGTGCCCGCCGGTTATCTACCCTCTCTTTAAGCCTCCTCCTCGAGAAAAACCCTTCAATGTCAAAGAAAAAGGGAATACAAGAACCAGCATTTTACATTTTCTTACTGCTTTTTTTTTTTGGCCTATTTGTGTTCAAGAATAGACCCTTTATCGTTATCTTACTGGACTCAGGAATGAGTCTCCTATGTCACCCTAAGATGCACTAATTCTCTGCTGTGTTTTGGAATTAACCATTTTCTCCATC